ACATCACTGTTCAGCTGAGGCCACGTATATCAACCTCACAGTTATAACAATCTGCCTCATATCCGTATGATTTGTCTAGGTCATTCATATTATTTGCTTCTGAAGTTTTGCTGATGGTGATAAACTCTGCCGACACAAACAGTTACCATTCCGTCTCTTTGGAAAGCACAGGTTGCATGCACTCCCAAATCTTCACTACCCTAGCTATACATACTGGACATCCTACAAACGCAGAAAAAAAGTCGCGAACGTAGCATCGCTCCTTTAGCTACAAACCGGACTAGTTCAGGGTACGTAAACAAAGCGGACGGCACAGTAGCACTGGTACAGAGACTACAGGAATTATCTGACCAAAAAACAGTTAGTGTAGTTAGTTACTTATTCCACTTCGATTCCTGCTACTTTCCTGGTTAGAAACACACGTTGTTGGTCTAAAAAGTCCACTTTTTTTCGTTTGCTGGTAATTATACAGTAAATTAAAGATTATTAAACTGTTAGAGGAAGGCGGTAAAAAATTTTTTTGTTATTAGTTTAGGGAACCTACTTGCCTCTAAACCTTATATATTAAGTGCTCGAAAAGTTTAAAAAGAGGAAGGCTGACGGTGCAACCTATTATCAACAATGATAATGCTAAGGAAGACGGTAATAGAAAAAAAAAGATTTAACCTTACATCCTTGGAACCGAAACCGTGGCTTCTTTGGTTTGCGACCCTATTCTGTGATATGCCGAAGCCAGGAATCAGCAGTGGGGCTCTCTCAAGAAGAAACAGCTTGGGTGACTCATTGTTCACAGAAAGTTGGAGTCACGAAACCAGCGTAAACATACAAGTAGCACAGTAGTTCGGTCAGTGCACTTTGTTAATGTTGGTGCTGGTTGGTTCTGCTGGGTCTAACGTCTTCTGTATGTAGGCAGTATAAACAACCAAAACTAATGTGTTTTAGATTCTTCACATCAAATCGTCCTCCAGCGGTTCTACAAACACTTAATTACAGTAAGGATATATGAGTAGCCTTAAAATGAAGCGAATAAAAAAGTGAAGAATTAGATGAAGGAAAAATCAAAATTAAGGAATCAAATTTGTCTGTAAAAAACTGCTTGAAATCTTTTTAAGAGACAATTTTTCTTGTATTGTAGCTGTAGGGAAATAACAGTTTGTTGATTATTGTAAAATCAAGAAAACTGAGTACATACGATTTTGTGACTTGATGGTTCGTAAGGCAAAGGGTTGTGGAGATGCAGCCATGATCTCTGGTATGTAGCCGGGATGTAATTTATTCGGAATTCAAATTGAATCATCAGTAACTGTCAAGAAAAACTAGTAGAGATATGGCAACAGTTTTGGGATAAAAAAATATTGCTAAGTTTTGTCAGCAAAATGTACATCTAGCGTTGCAGGGAGAAAAACAGGAAACAATGGCGAGTTGATTTAAATCTTTAAAAGGTAAGTTATAAGAACCAAAAATATAATATTTACTTGAGTGAAACAGAAGATTAAAGCTGTAGTGAGTGAGAGGTAATATATAACAGCGTCATGAAATAAGCGTTTGTTCTGATGTGATGGGAACGGCTCTAACAGAGTTAGATTCAACAAACTAAAAATGTTTATCACCCATTTCTGAGGTTTTTTAATCAGAAAAAACTTTTGTTGTCTTCCATCAGTTACTTTTTAGCTTTGAAAAAAAGCATTTTGCAAGAGGGAATAGTGAAATTAAAGGTTCACTCAGTTTGTATTATTTAGGGAATGCATAAAAAACAGTGCGTGCTGAGTTTCAGTACAGCTTAATTAATTCACTCTTGTATTTACCTAAAAGATAATAGCTATTATTGAAAGGGCAAATTAAGTCAACAACAGCGTTAGAGCGGGTAAATATAAAAGCGAATGGCAAACTACAATAGTGAAAAGTACCAGTTAGAAATCTTTAATCGGCAATCACTAATTTATGGTGAACAAAAGAAGAAATCTAAAAATTTTGAAAATTTTGCTGAAACCAGCATTGAAATTTGACGCTGGTTGCTAGGTCCCAAATCTTAGCCGTTTCAAGCTCAGAAAACAGTATCTATTCTCAAGTTCTGCGATAAAGTAACATAGTTTTAAAACGATTTTTAAACGTTTTGTAATAAGACCTTTGAATTGTAAAGAAAAACAGTGTAGAAACCAATTTAAAGCTCTTTACAAAGGGTTACTTGAAAATTGTGCTTTCTGATGGTTCTAACTTCTCTTTCTTATTTAAGTCTTCTGCGCAATTTCGTTCTACAAATTCTGCTTATCTGCGTAAGTCTTCTTACAAAGTTATTTCGTCTAAAATCTAAAAAATGAATTTAATTGCTACTAGCAAGGTAAACAAGTGAAGTCTAGTCAATTGTAGCCTTGTAAGATGCACAAATAGCTGCAGAGATCTTGATTGGAAACAGCGAACTTTACAAGTCAAAACCTTTTTCTTTCACCTTTTTTTATAATTTTAAAGCATTTATTTTGATAGAATCAACTACTAACTCTTAAATGTTCAGTTACTGTTAAAAAAAAATACAACAATTTAAAGCAGTTTTTTATAGTGATCTAAAGATTGCCTTATGGTCAACGGTAATGTTGAACAAACAACAATAGAAAAAACCAAAATTTTTACTGATATACTAAATAATACTGTTAAGAGAAATAAAACAGAATTTATTCCTTCATTTGCTTGAAAAAATTGTGTGCTCTCTTCTCCTTCAACTTTTTAAGCTTATCAAACCTTTTCAATATGTTTTTGAAATAAGTCATCAATAACACACAGTAATGCAACCTTCCTCTTTCTTTTGAAATTTTTTTTGGTTTTTAACCCATTTTTCGCTTATACAAAAAGTATAGAGAAATGCTATGGCAGTTATAAAGCAGTTAATGTGAAAAGAAGTTCAGCTTTCAGAGTTGCGGAAATGCGAGAGTCATACTGTTAGGATTAGTGTACCGTTAGTCAGAAATGAATTTTTCGTTGGCGGCTATCACTTCGACACTGATTTTCTTTTTTCTTTTGAAAATTGTTTGCTGTTTCGGTAATTGTGATTCACTTGAATCCTTAAAAAATGTCAAAACATTTGGTACTATGAATCTACCATCGTTAAACATGAAGACTAGAATTATAGGGAAAGCTTCTAGTGGTTCCATCGCCGAGC